CTCTCAGTTCCGGAGGCTAGAAATCCAAGATCAAGATGACAGCAGGGCCATGCTCCCTGACACAATCAACATAGTTTGGCAGTTGCTCAAAAGGTTAAACATACAGTTATCATAAGACACAGTAATTCTACTAGTAGGTGTATACCCAAAACAAATTCTGGGTAGAATCTTTCCTAGCTTCTTCTTACCTTCTGATGTTGGCCGTCAATTTTTCCATAGCTTGCTGTTTTATCGCTTCAATATCTGCCTCTGTCTTCATATGACTGTCTTTCCCCTGTGTGTTTCTGTCTTCACATGGTATCTTCCTCTTTTTATAAGGACATCAGTCATATTGGATTAGGGCCCACCCCAATGACCTCATTTTAACTTGGTTACATCTACAAAAACCCTGTTTCCAAACAAAGTCACATTTACAGATACCCGGGATTAGGACTTCAGCATCTCTTTTGAGGAGATACAATTCAAGCCACAACAATATGGATATTTCACATTTTATTTACCCATTCATGAGTTAATGAACATTAAGGTTGTTTCTACTTTTTGGCTATTAAGAATAATGCTGCTATGAACATTAGTGTGCAAGTTTTTGTGTGAATGTGTTTTCATTTGTCTTGGATATATGAGGATACTTCAAAAAGTTCATGGAAAGGTTTGTATTAAGTTTTAATTCTATTTTTCCACAAACTTTTTGAAGTACCCTTGTATACCTAACTTTTAGTCATTTAAACTGTTTCTTCTGGGAACTTGAGAAGTGTGAGGTGACCTCAGCCTGTCACTAAAGCCTCTTCACAATGTGTCTTTTACCAAAATGCCAGGCTCTTTTCTCTGTTTTGTTGTAGTTTTTCCCATAGACAGACTCAATATTCATAAAACTCAGTATTCGACTTCTCTTTTTAGAAATCACAATTAAACTTGCCTAAATTATCTGAAACATCTTCCTTCTGAGTTTATTACACCTTTCTGAAGGCAAAGATGTAATAAGTTCATGGTTTTGTATGTGTATGATTTTAAGAGCAGATGAAAGCCTCAATATGTTGAGAAAGATGAGAACAAATACATACCACCTTGGTAAAGTTGACACCTTAGCAGACTGGTTTTTGGCAAAAGGATTACTTACTTTTTTGGGGGGTGAGTGGGGCAGCTGGCTGGTACAGGGATGGAACCCTGGACCTTGGAATTATCAGCACCACACTCTAAGCAGCTGGACTAACCAATTATCTTTTTAGCCATCCTTCTATTGTTTTATTTGTTTCGAATAATTTTGTATTATTTTTGTAAATAAAGCTAATTTTTTTTTTTTAATTTAGGGGGCTGGCCAGTTAGCTCAGTTGGTTAGAGCACAGGTTATTAGGATCCTCGTATCAGCCAGCCACCAGAAAAAAAAAATTTTGTTTTAATTTAAAGATAAATAATCAAGGGAAAGTTATGTTAGCAAGCCCGGGTTTTCACCAGCTATTTTGAAAAATAGTCTAAGAAACAAACAGAAAAGGAATACTGTTGAATCTTTAATACGATTATGTAAAACGTGAAATTTTTTCTTTCAAGGTCTGAATTCTCATTTTCTTAACAGGTTTTACAGCTCTTTAAAACACTGCACAGGACCAGACAACAAGTTTTTAAAAATGATGCCAGAGCATTAGAAGGCAAGTACATTTTTTACCCCTTTGGAGCAAGTCCTTTCTTTAGATAGCTGCTGATCTATCCAAGAAACCCTGCTATGGCCAAGAGCCATCTTAGGGAATGACCTGTCTCTCCCCTTGGTGTTATAAACACCATACTGTAACTAACTGAGCTAACTGGCCAGCCCTGTTATGTTTTATAAAGGTTGGTTTACATTACATTTCTTTGAATAGTAGCTACCTAAAGAAAAAATGTAAAAGATCAAGTTTTCATTAAAAAAAAAAGCTGAAAAAGAAACAAATTTTCAGTATTCATCATTGCTTGCCTCATGTTCAAGCTATTAAACCCATTTCTCTGTTACATAATCAAATTTTTACACTCTCTAGGACCAGATACTACCATATTGCTAATGCCTTGTGTCAGTCTAGAAATCACAGCTGCTGTGAAAGAGAATTGATCCCAAATGACTCCAAATTTAGTATCTCACTGTTTTAAGTAGTTTCTGTCCTATCTTATCTGGAAATCACAGCTCTAAAGATTAGGTTCTGTGTTAGTCATGTTTAGTTTCACTCTTCATACATTTCCAAACCTCCTTAAGAGGGCACCTACGTAAAAGTGTCCCCCTTGTCCCTAGGAATTCAAGTTTCTGTAATTCACCAAAAATAATTTCCTAAATATTAAAGTATGTCATATTATCTGTACTTCACACAAACTCCTGATTTAATTTTCAGAACATCTCTGTGACGTAGTTACTATTATAATCCCTATTTTTGCAGATGAGGAAACTGGCAAAATCTGAAAAGATTTGCCCTACATCATATTTAGTAAGAGGTGGAGCTGGGATTTAGGTTAAGCACTCTGATTCCAAAGCCCAAACTCTTAACCACTATACATATTGAAGTGTATCAGGTATAGAAGGAAGGGTTTATGGCTATTCTCTATCAACATGGCATATTTTTGTTGCTTTAAATTTTTTAAGTAAAATAATTATAAGATCAGGTAACACATTATATATTTACTAAGCACTTTATGTGGATTGTTTCATTAAGTGCTTACAACAACACATTAAGTCCAGTCAGATTAGAATAAATTATGCTGCTGTAATGATACCAAAGTCTCAGTGATGTATGTGTACAAAAGTTTTAGTTATCACTCACTTTACATGTCAGCCAAGTCACTCAAAATTATATATATATCTCCTCTTTGCTGCTGTATCTTTAATTATTTGTGTGTGTGTCTATAGATGAACACACTTGTATGTATTGAATTTTGCAATCTTAAAAAAACATTTAAACCTAAATTCTTAGATTTATAGAAATAAAGCATTAAATTGGATTTATTAGAATTCAGTAGCCATTGGTACACAAATGAATTTGGGAGTAAAAAGCGGGAAAGAAAAAGAGTATTAGAGTACTAAAGGTTTATATTAGGTTTACTTTCGAATTTGCCAACCTGTCAAAAGCTCTCCAAGAGAGTTTAATAAATTTCTTATTCTTGTGCTTTGTTGTACATGGGGGAAAACCATTTCCTATGCAAGAGAAGTAGTCATTCATAATGAATCACATGTAAGTTATTGGGATAGGAATTATAAATGTAAAAAGCAAAAAACTATATATATATATATCTTTTTTTCTCTCCCTAGCAGCCAGAATAAAGATAAATGAAGAATTCAAAAGTAATAAAAATGAGACTTCTCCTAAGAAAATAGAAGAGGTACAGTAATTGAGTTTTTTTATTACAATAAAACTCTTACAAATTTTCTTGGCAAAGAGGAAATGATGAAAATAGAGGAATTATATGAAATAAAACCCATTATTTGATAGTTAAAGCCATCACAACTGTAGATAACCTTCACTTATTTGGTTACAAATTTTCTTGGCAAAGAGGAAATGATGAAAATAGAGGAATTATATGTAATAAAACCCATTATTTGATAGTTAAAGCCATCACAACTGTAGATAACCTTCACTTATTTGGTATGGCTCACCTCCTCAGGGTCATCTGCCTACACCCAAAAGACAACAAGTTGCCCTGTGAAAAGAACATGGAAGTACCCATGGTCAAAGTAAGAGCAACTGTACCAACCCAGAAACCCACAGAAATTCTGTCTTCACCTAAGGCAAGTGACTGAAGCTAAGGAGAGTGAGTGTTGTAGTAACTCAGAATTACAGAGGGAACTTCTCTTTTAAAGCTCAACTAAGCAGTTAGATTTTTTTTTCTTTCAGTTCCTATCTTGGCAATGGCAATAACAGCCACAAACAGTTTATGAACTATTCTTGCTTTGCCTTCTGTATTTGCATTTTGGTCACTTGTTCTAGTTGAAGATGCTCTACTGGCACTAGTCTGTTAGCTTCCTAGTACTCTCAGTACATGTTAATTGAAAAAATGCACAGTGATTCTTTTCCTGTATAACATGAATTCTGGCATATACACATTGTCTCTATCCTGAGCTTCCTGTGTCTATCTTTGCATAAAGGTAAGGAAAAGACCCTTCAGAAGAGAAGAAATTTTCAGAAGAAAGAAATTTTCCAAAAACTAGAAAATTATTTGAAGGTATAGTTATGAGTCCGAGAATAGGATTGGTAAAAAGGAAGGTACAAATTAAAGAAATTCTTTCATGTTTAACAGAATTTCCACATGTAGTAGAGAAACATACTATTTTTGAAATAGCAAATACCTTTAATAATCAAGCTAATGAGACAAAGTAAGATTGCCTAAGAATTTCTCTCTCTATAAAATAAAAAAAGGAAAGATTTTGCTTAAACGTTTGATAGGGCAAACAGGGAATATGTAATTTTTATTCATGGCAGAAATTAAATGACAGTGTAATCAATTCATTATTTGAGAAGTTAAAAGGTATATGAGGAAGTTTGTACTATTTGCTAGTCAGTAAACTGATTAATAACATGGTAACAATTAAATTTTGAAATTATGATTAAAGATTTTTTTGAGGTATGTTTATATCAAATAAACTGGGAAAATGAACTCCCAAATTTATTTTACTTATCAGAGCATTAATTTAACATTAAGCAATCTAGAAATTGGGTATGTGTTATATTCAAATGTGTATTTTGTACTTTCTGCAACTTTGCAAATATTAAGTATTAAATACTGAGTAGATTTTAGATCATTACATTGTAACATATTGGAGGATTTATGAAGTCTTGGTACAAAAAGGAATCTTAGGCATCCTCTAGACTAGCAGTTCTCAAACTTAGTGGTCTGAAGATGTACCCTCTAAAAAATTGAGAACCCCGAAAAGCTGTTTATATCAATATTTACCATATTAGGAATTTAAACAGAATTTTTAAAAATATGTATTAATTCATTTTAGAATAATAATAAACCCACAAGATGTTATTAAATAACAATGTTTATGAAAAATAACTATTTTCAAAAAAAATTAGTGAGAAGAATCGCATTGTTTTACATTTTTGCAAATCTCTTTAATGTCTGGCTTAATAGAAGTCAGGTCAATTCTCATATCTGCTTCTGCATTCAGTCCGGTGCAGTATGTTTTTTAGGTTGAAGTATATGAAGAAAATTCAGCCTCACACAGATATATAGTTAGAAAATGGTAGAAGTATATAGTAGCCTTTTCAGGTAATTGTGAATATTCTTTGATAGTACACCATGACAAATGGTAATTTCTTAAAGGTTAATTGCAATATAGAATTCTGTTATCTGTTAGACCAATGGATTTTTTGGGGGGCGGGGGGGGCAGGATTCATCCAGACCACCTCCTGCTCATCCCCTCGGATCTCCTCTAATCTCTTGCTCCTCATCTAGTCTTGTTTCCAGCCTTAGATCTAGGACTTAACTCAGTTTGTGTACCTCCAGTGTGTGAGGAGGCCCACTTTTTTCTCCTTTCTCTACCCTGCCAAGCCCCTTTCCAAGTGTCAGGAGGTGAGGCTTTGCTCTCCCACAGCTCTCTCCATGTCAATTAATGGCATCTCCCTCCTTTTTGTGCTGAGACCAAAAACCTTAGTGCTTTCTTTCTTGGCTGCTCTCCTTCCTTTAAACTTAACGTCCAATCTGTCAGCAAATCCTATTGGCTTAATCTTCAAAATATATCCAGAATTCAATCACTTCTCATTCTCTCCATCATTATCTCCTAAGCCACCATCATGTCTCCCTGAATTGTTACAACAGCCTCCTGATGGGCTTCCCTGCTTCCATTCTCACTCCCTACAGGCTACTCTCAATACTTTTAAAGGCAGATTGAGTCCTTTTTTAAAAAGGCATATCCCATCGGTCTTCTACTCACAACCCCCATGGTTCCTCATCCCATTCAAAGAAAAATCTAAAGAGTCTACCATGACCTTCAAGACTGTGTATCATCTGAGCCCTCTTACCTTCCCACCTCAACTTGTTCTGATGTTGGAGATAGCATCTCAGGGGCCTGTTAGTTGGCCTCAACCCACCCAGCCCTCTTACCAGATTCCTGACTCCACCACAGGGAAGAATTCAAGGCAGAGTCACAATACAAAGTGAGAACGAGTGTAATAGATAAGAAATACAGGTTCCACAGAGAGAGTGCGCATAGCTCCAGAGACTGAGCAGGGCCCACACCAATTTTAACATAAAAGTAAGTTCAGTGCAAACATCAAGTCTAACACAAAAGCAAGAAAAACATAAAGTTCAGTACAAAGTTTCAGGCTGGCTCAAGAGAATGAGCAGCTGCTTGCTGAAAGTAACTTAGACACAAAGTCAAATATACATACTGCAGTCAGGGAAGCGCAGGTTGCCACCAAGAAAGTGAACAATAACCCTGCCTTAAGCTGGGATTTGGCTTTTATAGTTTATCTAATGAACACTTAAATAGAGGGGGTCGTTCCCAGTTACATGCACCAGAATGTTCTGTGCTCTCTATTGAGCATGCCCAGCCACTGGATTGCATAAGCCAGCCCCCTGTGGTCTCATTCCCCCACCCCCTTGATGCTAGAAATAGGTCTAACTGGCAACAGTAACTTTCCTCCAGGGCAGAGCTCAGAAGAGGGGGCCTGAGAGCTCAGGCAATGGCTGGAAACCCAGAGTATGTCCTGAAACCTGGGCCCAGAGAAATTGAGCACCTCCTGTATCAGTACCACATCCCCTTCACTCTTACATTCTCAGTGTCTTCTTTGAGGGTTCTTAAACTTACCAAGGACTTTCCTGTTTCAGGGCCTTTATGTGTTGCTTCTTCCAGGGATATTATTCTCTCACATGCCTTCACGGGCTCATTTAGGAGACCAATGAGTTTTAATCTCTCTACCTTTGAATAGATTTTTCACCCATGCATGATATTGTAACATCATGCACTGGTGATTTAGAAAATACAGATTCGGGCCAACCCCGTGGCTCACTCCAGAAAGTGCGGCGCTGGGAGTGCAGCGGCGCTCCCACCACAGGTTCGGATCCTATATAGGGATGGCCTGTGCGCTCACTGGCTGAGCGCGGTGCAGGCAACACCAAGCCAAGGGTTGCGATCCCCTTACTGGTCACAAAAAAAAAAAAAGAAAGAAAGAAAATACAGGTTCACTGAGTAATACAAATATTCCAAATATTGACATAGTTCATAACATAATATTTTAAAATTACATCTATTAATATTAATATCCATCTTAGAAAAATCTTTAAGGGACATTAAATCTTTACTGTGAAGCTGTCAAGCTCACCATGGCAGATACAAGTTCTTCAGAATTCTGATTTTTGCTTGAAAGCTTCAATTTTATCATTGTCAGCAAATACCATCAATTATTCTCCTTGAAGTGATACACTTACTTCAGTTTTTCAAGAAAATGTCTGCCAATAGCTACGAATGAATAATCAGTTTGTTAGTGGTTCTTTCAATTGAAAACTGGTATTTCCACGGAAAAAGCTCTTCTGCTCACAACTCAAACAAGGTAGAATGCTGTAGTATTATTGAAAGGGTGCACAGACCCAAGCTGATAAGACGACAGGACCCGAGCTGACAGTTCGCCAGAGAAGTTCCACTTTATTCAAGGACTGCGCTTATAGGGAGCTGCGTTCTGGGTTTTGATAGGGGGTGGACGGGGCGGTAGCTGATTGGACGGGGCTGGGCAGGAAGTGAGCCTTGACTTGTGACTGGCTGAGGTTTGGCGCGGGTGGGCTTGAGTGTTGGCGCCGGTGGGCTTGTTTACTGTGGAGAAGAACCCAGAAGGGCGCCATATTGCTAGGGAATGCTTTTCCCCCTCTGCTTGAGTGCCCACAGTATCCTTACATTCAAGTGCCTACAGTATCCTTACATTATCCTTACAATTATGAAAATAATTTTGACCTCAGAGATCCCTGAAAGGGTCTTAAGGTCCCTCAGGGGTCCACAGCTTTGAGAATTGCTGTTCTAGTCCAGTTCTTCATTGTGCATTTGATGAAGTCTGAAACACAAAGAGAGTAGGGGATTAACCCAAGGCCATCCACTTAACGACAGAGCCAGAGTTGGAATTCAAGTGTTCTAACTCCTAATCCCATATTCATTCTAGTGTTCAGATCATCCAACTCTATGAAAGAAAGATTAAATACACTTGCTCCACAAATGTGCATTTTAAACACATTTAAAAATACATATTATAACAAAATGCTGTAAATGTCTTTTGAAACAAATTGTAGAGTGGATGGGTAAAATTCAAAACTATGCACATATTGGAGCTTCCTATACTGCTTGGAATGGTTATAAAAAGGGAAAAGCAGTATTACCAAAAAAGAAATTGTAGGAAAACTATAGTTTTCAACAGCAGTACATTCATATGAAATACTCAAAGGACTTATTCTATTGTTTGGTTTTCTTAACAGCTAATGAAAACAGGTTCTGATGTTGAATTGTTACTAAGAACATCTGTCATTCAAGGTATTCACACAGACCACGATACACTCCGTAAGTAAAATTAAAGAAAAAATGATCTCTGACTGCAGTGTATTTTAAAATACTGAACAATTGCAGCACTTTTAATGCTGAGTAGTAAAACAGCTTGATTTTGCCAGGCAATGTGATATATATATTGTATAGATTTTAAGGCCACAGTCTAAAAATGCCAGATTGTGAAGCTTTGTTTTACCAATTTTTTTTTCTTTTTAGTTTTTTAAATTTATTTTTTCTTGTTTATCTTAACCCCTGGTTATATTGTAAAACTATAGTTACAAAAGATAGTATGACTATTTCTATCATATTTATTTGGGATTCTTAATTTTTCTGGCATCATTATCACTTACCTAGACTAATTCTGTTTCTTTACCTCTTACTCTATAACTAGTTATTTTAATTCAGAAGAATTGGGATTATAGGAAATGGAAATACAGTTGAGGATCCTCCATTATACCTTGAGATTTCTGATGGGGCTTCGGGAGAATCTCATTTTACATTACATTTTGTTTTCATTCCCTAAAGTATCTTTGAGGACAACAACAAAAAAAGATGACATTCAAAATTGTTAAGAGGCTTTGTGTTTTAAGTAGACTATTGAAGTATAACATGTAAACAGAAAAATGCACAATTTATAACTGTACAGCTCAGTAAATTTTCACAAAGTGAAATATCCAGATAACCAACATTCACATCAAGCTGTAAAACCTTACCAGCATCTCAAAAGTCCCCTCATGCCTTCATGTTCCTGCCAATCACCCCTCCCCACAAGGATAACCACTATCCTGACTTTTAACACCACAGATTTTGAACTTTATATAATAGTGTTTAAACTTTATATAAATGGATTCATATGGGTTACTATTATGTCTGGCTTTGTTCTCTCAACATTATATTGGTAAGATTCATCTATATTGTTGTGTATTGCAACATTATTATGAATATTGTTTGGGCATACCACAGTTTATCCTTCTGTTGTTGTTTGGGTTGCTCCCAGTTTTGGACTGTAATGAATAATGAGTCTATGATCATTTCGTATAACTTCGTAGAATGTATGCTATACGAAGTTATTACGGTACTAAAGGTTTATATTAGGGCATATATATTTCATAACTGAAACAAATTATTGCCATTGTTAATAAGTTAAAACCTACACTATAATTTACTCTCTGAAGAAACCTCCAAAGATTTGTTAAAAGCAAGTGAAACAATATAAACAATGGTTAAATAATACTTATGTAACTGGTTTTCATTTCAGTAAGACAGATTTACTGTTTGGCTAACATTTTTAGTCAGGTCAGTTCTTATTTTATTAAGTGAGAATTTCAGCTTTCCTTTGATTTTTAGTCAGGTCAGTTCTTTTTTTATTAAGTGAGAATTTCAGCTTTCCTTTGGGTTAACTTTGTTTTAGTGATTTTTTTTTAAAAAGCTTTTTATTTTGAAAATAATTTAAATTTACAGAAAAGGTCTAAGAAAAGTTGAAGGGTGTGACAATTTCTTTTACCCAGGTTCTACAAATGCTAGCATTTGACCACATGTGCCTTATCATCCTTCCCTCATTTTTTTTTTTCTGCACTTTCTGAGAGTAAATTGCACAGACATAATGCCACTGTACACCAAAATGAGCCTTTTTTACATCATGTCTGCCCACTTGGGTTTAGATCTTCTGGAGAATACTTTAGGGTATATTTCTGTAAAATATTTCAATGTATATTTCCTAAATATACAAAGACATTCTCTAATGAACCACAATATAATTATCAAAACTAGGATTTTTAAAAAAAATTTTAATTGTACGTATTTGTGGGGTACAGTGTGTAGTTTCAATACATGCATATATTATATAATTATTCACTTAGAGTAGATAGCATAGCCATCACGAAACCAGAATTTTTTTTTTCTTTTTTTTGGCAGCTGGCCAGTATGAAGATCCAAACCCTTCACTTTGGTGTTATCAGCACCACACTCTAACCGAGTGAGCTAACCGGCCAGTCACATGAAACCAGGATATTAACATTGGTATAATACTGTTATTCACATCTTTCCATTTGTCCTAATGATGCCCTTTATGGCAGAAGGAAAAAAATTTTCCCCTGATCCAGGATCCTATTGAGAATCACACAGTGCATTTAGTCCTCATGTTTCTTTAGTCCTGCTTAATCTGGAGCCGTTTCTGTCTTTCTTTGCCTTGCATGATCATGATATTTTGAAGAGTATAGGTAAGTTATCTCATAGAATGTTGTATGAGCATTTTTTGATCATGACAGCTCACCTGGGTTCAGCTCTTCCGAAGAAAAGAAGGCGAAATAATATATCTCTTCAGAATTTTCTATCTTAAGAGCTTTTTTTTCTTGACTCCAGCAAAATGTCTTACCTAGGACTCAAAGTTTTTTGTGGTTGTTTAATGTTGTTTCTCAATAGCTGCCCTGTTGCCATTTTGGACAGGACAGTTTTTTACTGTGCCAGACTGTCACATAGCAAGAGATTTAGCATCCCTGGCCCTTGCCCACTAAATTCCAGTAGCATTTTCCAGTCAGTATGCAACCCAAAACACTCTCAGTTAAGAACCATTGTTCTATAAAATTTGGAATCTTTAGATTAGGAGAGCAGTCTAGCTTTTTCTACAGTAGGTAATATAAACAGATTTTCCAATTGATGGTTTTAATTATCAGTAATCAGTAATCATATGGCCAATAATGTGTTTAGCTGAACTCTGTTCAGTTATTTAATTAGTTATATTACATAAATAAATGATCAAGAGTTAAGTTGGTCGTATATGTTTTTATATCATCTGAAATGAGCATTCTATTAACTGTCTCCATTTAGAATCAAGGATTCCACCTTAGATATCAACTGAAATAAAATATCTCTGGAAGATTTACTGTTATAAATTTTAGGGGGAAATAAGTGTACTTGCATTTAATTCTAACTTTAATGATGTTAATTATTCTCTCTTTTTGTTTTTCTTTCAGAATTGGTCCCTAGGAAAGACCTTCTTATGGAAAATGTGCCATATTGTGATATACCAACCCAGAAGCAATGAATATTCTAGGATAAAACAAGTCTTTGCACTTTTTAACTTTAAAATACACAACTCTGGCAGAAGTCCTGCAAATGCAGACATTTTTCCTGAACTGGCATATTGAAAGATGAATGAATTAAAGAATAGCTTCATAATTAAACTTCATGTTGAAAGGACATCACTGAGAACTGCAGAATTTAGTTATGTATTTCTAAAGGACATTCAATAAGATGACATTTTATTTTCATTTATATTCATTTCATTTTATTTTATTTTTATTAAAGTGAATTAAATGCTTAAAATTAAAAAAAATGTTATTTGGAATACTTTTTCAGTCATTTCACAAGTTTCCTGCTGCTTGGGGTCTGGTACTTGAGAATTATTGTATTCCTTTGGTGGTATCATATTTTCTTTTTCTTTTCTGTGTGTTGGTGTGTGTGTGTGTGTGAGTGTGTGTGTGTGTTTCTAGTTTCCTTACATTAATGTCTTGTCATCTGGTGGAGTAATTGCTTCTTCTATTACTCTGACATGGCTTTTGAGGAGAGATACTCCTTCCTGGAGATGGCTTTTATATTGACAATTGGCCCTGGCCAGACCTGCAGGCACCCCAGCTAGTGTTTCATGCCCCTTATAGTTGCACTGGGGTGTACTGAAGTTACTCAGCTTGAAATGATGGCCCTGGGTGAAGTTCTTTCCTCTTTCCTTTGGACAGAGGCTTCTTCTGGGTCTTTGCTTCTCTCTCTTTCCTCCTGCCTGATGAAACATTGGGACACCTGTATCTGGGTGAGGTGAAGCTGGTGGCGCATGGGCTGGGTGTTGCAGTGGGGAGTGAAACTGACTGCTGTGTGGAGAGAAGGGCAACTGCAGTGGTAGTGCTCTGGGGTCAGTGGGTGGAGGCAGCAATGGCCATGAGGTTGTGCTTTCCTTCTTGGTTCAGGTACTGGATTTCCAAGGACAGGGCTGCTGAGATTCTTCTCAGGAGGTGGGCAGGATCACTGTGTGAGCCCTTAGTGGAACACCTCATTCTTCCTCTTGTTGGCATTGGGTGGGGCCACTAGCCTGATGCATGTCAGGGGACCTGGTTGGGATGCCTGTGGGTGGTGGGGAGAGTCTCTAGGCAGTTCTACAGTGAAGGAGGTGCATTTGTTTCTGAGTGTTTTGGCAAAGTTTCTAGGCAGGACCATTCAGAGTGGAGCCACTAGGCCAACTCTCTGAAATGGGAAGATGCTCATTATTTCCACCAGCCTGAGGGTATATTTGTTAAGGTAGAGACCCATGAGCTATTTTTCCAACTTGGAGACTTAAGCATACACAACTCAGTCAGCAGCTGGGGGTGGTCCACCTGAGGAAGCTCTGCCTGTTTTATCTCTGTCCTGGGATGTGGGGGTGGAATAAAGAAATCCTAATTATTTTAGGAAATGGTGGCCCTTGATCAAATTATGTAATATGGACTTAGTAGAATTAGCTGAATTTAGACCACAATTAGACTTTATTATGAAAATGTAACATATGGCTGCATTCTCTTCATTTTAATCAGTAAAACTTAAATGGCTTCTCTTCTTCCACATGTCCCATCCCTGACAATATTGGCAGTATCACAAAAGGACTTGGCATTCTACCAATGCTGGGAACTATAAAATCATATTTAATTCTTCTTGTTTCTCTTTTATCTGTGTGTTTTTACCATTCTGTTTTCTCAGTGAACAGTGTGTTCTCTCCCATTTAGTGATGAATTCTCCCATTTGATGATGATGCAGAGTTTTTAATTTTTGCAAGATTCTCAATGCAAGCTTTGTTTGTTGGCAAAACATATTGGTATATTCACACTGGATATAAAATGTCATATTTGAAAATAGTTTCATTTTAGGAGATCAAAAAATTATCAAAATTATTTAGACATAGTACATTTAACATTAAGCCAGAGACCACCCTTAATGCTTCCTAATATTTTTGAGGAGATCATTTAGTAGTCTGTGTAATGGATTACACATGTCAGAAATTTCACTATGTAATTTTTTTATCTCCTGTGTATATTTCTTATTATATATATAGAAATTATACCTGAAGAAAAATGAAAGTTGTTTCAAATTTGAAATTTGTTTGCCTTTATAAGAGAATGCTGAAAGTCACTGCACAATCACTGTTTAAATTTCACTGAGTTACTATTATTACAGTGTCTATTATAAATTTTGAGGAAAGGTGGCTGACAATTTAAATTTAATATACTATATTGTTTCAGTATCATTAAACCTTTTTAAAAGTTCATAGCTTTTTTCTTTAACTTGAATTCCCTGGTTTCATTCTTTATTCACATTAATTTAAGTAGTTAATCAGATTTTTTAATGAACTAATCATTAGTAGCAGTAGAGATTAATAATTTGCATATTTATTTTGTTAAAGCTACTGGCTTAGAGATTTTCTTTATGATATATATAGATATAAATAGATTCAATATTGTAAATTCATGCCTTAAGACTGTGCAGTAAAGTTTCTGTGAAATATATCAACATATCAACAGAAGGCTTGAGTGTCACAAAATTCTCAAAGATTTGGCACCCTGTCCTTATATAGCCTAAATTTATGCATCAAATGAATTTTACTAGATTTTTAATAGTTTCATTGGATAACTTAAGGTAATTCATGAGTGCTTGGCCTTTTGCAAAGTAAGGTTGAGAATCAGTATTCTTGAGAGTAAACTTCTACACCTATATGGGGTTTAGTTTGTAAACTATTTATAAAAACAAAGTTATGATTATCTAGGTACCTAATTTCTCTCTTGTACAATGTCATCATTTAAATAAATCTTTTTTATTTAGTTGGTTGAAAAAAAAAAAGAAGCTTCTCATGTTCCCACAGGGAGTTGCCCAAACCTAACATTTCACTTTGACTATTGAAATCTAGTGAAAGTGGGGTGTACAAATTCTAATCGCAGGCTCAGAGGCCCAGCAGGACTTTGTAAAATAATCTTTTGGCAAAAGTTAGAAATGGTGTATGGCAGGATGATCAGATTTGGCGAGCATATGTAGGGAAGAATCCTTCACTGCAGATTTGAAGATTGCAAGTAGTTTGCATAACATTTAATTCACAGCATTAAAATTAAGATTTGAGTCAAATTGTGTTTAAGTTGGTTCTTATTTTGCTGTAATTGGCATCTCTCAACCTGAGTATAATGTCCAAAAAGCACATGATAAGAATAGGTGGAATTTCTGTACTCACAAAACAAAGCCATAGCTCAACAGAGAAATGAAAATTGCAGTACTTTAACAGTTTTCTAAAACAAAGTGTGTAGATGCAAAATTAATATAGCTGTACTGTATATCAGCTATACCAATGAAATGAAATGGAAAAGAGATCCTGATTATAAAAGTAAACAAAACTATAAAATATCTAGGAATAGACTTTTTAAAAACTGTGACACTTAAATATTAGATACGATGCTTCTAGATGGGACAATTGAGAATTGTGGAGATGACAATCCTTTAAATAGAACGAATCTATTGAAATCCCACCAGATTAACAGATATGCCTGCATAAAAAGATAAACTTCCTTATCCTGTGAAAGCTATTATAAATAAAGTTTAGAGAAAATTATTTGCCACCTATGTAATTAAAATAGTTAAGATTTAAGTGTGCTTATAAATTAGTAAAACATAATTTATAAGCACAGGCAATGATATAAATAAAACAGGCAAATGATATAAATAAGAAATTAACAAAAGGAGAAATACTAATTTTTCCAGTGATCAGAGAAATGTAAATGAAACATTTTTGTTCATCATATTGTCACAAGTTAAACTTACCATATCCAATATTTGTAAAAGTTGCTGGGGTGTGAGGAAATGGACACTGTCATATTTTTTAAAGAAATGTAAATTATAGGGCATGTTCACGTTTGAGAGGAAAATTGACATCGAAATTTTTTTTTTTTTTTTTTTTTTTAAAAGATGACCGGTAAGGGGATCTTAACCCTCGACTTGGTGTTGTCAGCACCACGCTCAGCCAGTGAGCGAACCGGCCATCCCTATATGGGATCCGAACCCGTGGCCTTGGTGTTATCAGCACCACGCTCTCCCGAGTGAGCCACGGGCCGGCCCAGACATCGAAATTTTAAGTATACATTCTCTCCAGTCTATTTCTCAAGAGCTCACAAGTACTAATAAATGTACACTTGGTATACGTTTAGAAATTTCTGTGACATTGTAACTTAAAAAAACAGAAAACACCGTAAGTTTCCAAATTTCAGTGAACAATTAAAGAAAATGTGCCTCATCCATATTGTAGAACATTGCACAGGAGTTGAAAAGAATGATGCTCTACACACACACACACACACACAAGGGTACTTCAAAAAGTTGGTGGGAAAATAGAATTAGAAGATAATATGAGTCCATGAACTTTTTGAAGTACCCTCATATATATTTTTTTCAAGTGAAAGAAGCAAGCCACGGAATGTCTTCACTATGTATCCACTTGCACGTGTGCATAGATACAAATGCATAGAAATGCTAAAAGTGAATAGTCAGGGAGGAAATGAGATTGTGGGAAGGAAGTGGTAAATTGAGGACTTTTATTCTGTTTATTCCTGTGTATTTAAATATTGTTTACAGTGAGTATATCAACATGATTTTTTTTTTGTCTTTTCCGTGGCCGTAAGGGGATCGCAAGCCTTGGCTTGGTGTCACCCGTACCGCGCTCAGCCAGTGAGCGCACCTGCCAGTCCTATATAGGATCCGAAACCACAGCGGGAGCGATGCTGCCACAAGTGCGCCACGGGGCCGGCCCTCAATAACCTACTAGTGATTTTTAACTTAAAATTAATTATGGAATATTTCAAATATTAGCAAATAGTAGAGATTCATGAACCTAATTCCTACAGTTGACAGATGTTACATTTTGCCATATTTGTTTAAAGATATTTCTATTAAGCCATAACATCTTATAAAGCTGAAGTCCCACTCTCCTTTTCTTTCTCGTCTCTCTCCAAGGATAATCGCTGTTTTATAGTTTGTGGAATCATTCCCATGCTTGTTTTTATACTTTTACTAAATATGTATGTATTCAAAAATAATAGTATTTTGTGGTTTTAAAATATAAATGAATGGCATTATGCTCCATGCATTCTGCAACTTGCTTTTCACCATACATTAGGTTTTGGAAATTTATATTGTTGCATGAA